CCAAGACGGACTCCTAGTGTATGCCTTATAAAGGGCGCACAGTCGGGCTACCAGTCTACATTGTGCAAAAGTTTCCCAACCAGATTCATCTGAATGATTTGCAAATTTAGCCGCTCTTCTTTGTACACGATTTAAAGTGCTTACCTGCCAATCTCTTTATGGGTCCCAACATACCACGCCATATTCAAGTATCGGTCTCACTAATGACGTATAAGCTAGACGTTTCGTATTATTATTTCCCTGTCTCAGTATACGCATTATTAAATGAAGGGCCTTCCATGCTTTCCGTAGCGTATAGTTTACATGATCAGCCCAGCTTAGATCGCTACGTATGATTATTCCCAGGTACTTAAAGCTATTTACCTCCGGTATTAATTGACCCCCAAGATAATATGTCAGTCGTTCCTTTACCCTAGCTCTCGTGAAACCTACAGCTTTACTCTTATCTGGATTTATCTTCATCTCATTTTCTACCGCCCAATTCCCTAATTTATTTAGANGTATATTACCAACAAATGAGTAAGCCATTATACTGATCCTCTGTTAAGGCGTTCGTTTACTGTTATTTGCCATTGTCTGATTTTACTGCCACCAAAGACAGCAAGAATGCTTGCTGGAGGACAGCCATTTCTTTTTTCTAAATAAGAGGATGGGGATTTACACTGGACAGGAATTTTGCTGATAAATTATCTTTGATTTGTAGGATGTTGAGAAGCCATAAAAATTATGTGTTCATTGTTTTACAAGCACTGGAAGAAGGAAGTGTTTAAAGGTAGTCCTAGTTGTAGATATAGTGTTCAGAGTAGTGAAATGTAAGTATCTGGGAACATGAGGAGTGAAGCTTATGGTGCTTAACAGCAGATTGAATGAAATACATTATTTGGTTCAGACGCTCACATGCCATCTCTTTGTGAAGCACAGAAACAAAACTTATACATAAGAATGGCAGTTGCTTATGTTTGTGAAACTTTAAATTCTGCCCTAGTTAGTTAGTTAGTTAGTTATTGGAGAGGGTGGGTTTCCCCATGCACTTAGACCTGTATTGGTCCATTGTGCTTCCCTCTATGATTTCTACAAGTCTCTATATCCTGCCGGTACTGGTGCTTACCATCACTCCCGCCCAGCCAGCGAGACCAGCTCTACTAGCTGAGAGGTATATATATAATGCTTCCCCCATCTACCAGAGGTATTAGAGACTGCTGTTGGGCGGGAAACGTCCGTTAATTTGGCTCAGTGACCTCCTTTGGAGATATGAGGTTCTTTTACGTGCCGTAAAGCTATGACACGGGACCCACGGCTTAAAGTCCCTCCCGGAGGACTTGTTCCCTGAATTTTTCCGTCCTTAAAAATTCGACGACCTCCGCTGGGTATTTGAACCCGCGTACTACGAGTCATGAGGTGGGAACGTTACCTCTAGACTACGGAGGCCACTAAATTCTGCCCTAAGTAAAGCACACACCCCAAGTATTTGAAAAGCAAGCACTATTACTAAGAGATTTGTGTGCAAGCCTGTTGTTACTGGATAATGAATCTAAGAAAATGTACAAATGTTACGTTTCTTGACATCCATCATATCTTTCTCTGAAACACTGCCCTGTTCAATTTTTGAAACAACATTTTGAATACTGGATTCTGTCTCCATCTCAGGTAAAACTTACTCACTGGGCCCAATCCATAGAGCTAGTCCCTATCACCAGCCACCTGTACCAGCACCAAGGTGGAGTATAAAAACCAAGCACATCGCAAACCATCCATGAGAGCTAAGAAAACATTAAATTATTAAATACAGTACACTTACGAGGCTTTGCACCAGAGAACTGTCATGATAGAAATCATCACTGGAGAAAAGAAATACTCTTTATGGTATCAACACAAGGAAAACAAATTCTCCTACTCAATCTACATTTGATGGAGTTGTAGGCTCTTTGCTTCTGTGGAGATTACAGGGGTCCAGATGTGAGAAATATCCAACCTGGGTTGACTGATTGGGTAGTCTAACAGAGATGTGTTCGTAGATTCCTTGTATTTCCTGTAAGTGGTGTTTGGTTCAATCTGCATGACTTTTGCTTCATTCCAATATATTTTGTGGCCTTCTTTGTATGCTTATTGGTCTAATCTTGATTTTTCAGTCAAACCCTGTGTCAGGTTATATTTGTGCTCATTAGTATGTACTTCTAAAGGTCTCTTTATCTCTGGACCCCATTATCACGGTGTTTTTAGATAAAGACATGCTGATGGATAATGTCCAGAAACATAATATTTGTACTAATGTACCATCATCACAAACTTCTAGATCTTATTTACTAAGAAACTGTGATGGACTGGCAAGCACATTGGCTGTGCAGAACAAGAAATGCAAATTGCTTTTTTAAAGGTCATTGAAATAAAATGGAATGTGTCTTGCTTGCAGACCTGAACCATGGGTGAACGTGTGACTGCACCAGCAGCCACATCGAAACACCGCCCCTGGGAGTCTGCACAAGCCAAGTCATTCTCCGGACAGGGAGTGGTGAGCAGCCCGACCTCATTAGCTGAGATATTTGACACTGCATTCTCCTCCACGGTGGATCACCCACCGAATGGCACTGACTACAGAACTGGTGAGGGTAAGGATTTTGCATGCGTATTGTAGTGTAAAGAGCAGCCACTTTTTGAAAGGATGTCATTGAAGATATGTGTTTGAAGTTACGTATCATAGTTACAGCAGCATCTGGTACACTGACACGTTGTTTGCGTATGTTTCTTAGGCGAGATGGAGTTCGAGCCACTATTTGCAGAGAGTGATGCTGATGATGTAGATGTCGTATCTCTAGAACAATTCCCACGTACACCTGCAGAGCGAGCTGTTGGTGAGCCCCTTTATGCCCAGTTCCGCCGTCGGCCAGATGCTTGCTATCGACGTGGGGCATGGCCACCACCTCCACCACACCCAGAGCCTGTGGCAGCACCATACTATCGTCTGTTCCACTCTGAGGACACACATCCATATGGTGACGCACGGATGGACTGTGATGCAGGCTTGGCCAGTAATTTCCACTTGCAGTTTTGTGCACATTGATGGTGTGTCCAGATGCATGTATGAAATTTGGCTTGTTTCTTTCAGTTGGAGGAAGTGATCCATATGATGCAGCACGGCGGAAGCGTGTGCTTCGCGAGGCTGACCGTACTACAACTACAAAACTGAAGGCCAAGAAGGGTGACCACATGCGCCTTGGGGGTTCTGGGGAGGGCAGTTCTGCTGGTGCATCTTGCAGCTTCCATCGACCAGGTAGTGGTACCAGTGCAGGACCCAGTCCAGTGGGGGAAAGGGCTTCAGGAGGACGCCAGCACTTGCCTTCTGCATGCTACCCACCAGCTGGTGCCAGGAAGAAGATTGTACCTCCAGCACCACCTCTGCCAGCTGAGAAGAGACGCTTTCAACTGTTCTCTGCTGCAGATGATGTGGTCTCTGACCTGGATGTTGTAAATCAAGGACATGGAGCTAAGCTGCTGGGTGTGAAACTGGAACAGCAGCAGGAGGAAGATCCGGTGCCACCTACCCAGCCTCCAGCTCTGAATCCAAACTCGTTTCCAGGTAATGACAAAATGAACAGTATTTTGTGATGCCATTCTGACTTTGTAGCTCATCACACTAGTAGAGCATGTCAAGTCTGATGCACCGGGAAGCCCTAGCAAACCTGTGATTGCAATTGCGGCAGGTCCATCAGGCACGCAGACCCAGAGCATAGAGGATGGCCCTTCAGCCCCAGACCTGCAGCTAGACTGGCTGTCATCAAGCAGTGACAGTGACGACACAGATGATGACAGTGGTATTGAGGTGGTTAGTGTGAAGTATAAGCAGTCAGCAGCACAAAGGGTGAGTTGCATTCGTTAACAGTGAAATGTGCTCACAACATTTTGATCAGAAAACTTGAAGGAGGAGAACCCTTCTGGCATTTGGGCAAATGGTAATACAGTGTGAGGGTGTGGACCAGATTTATCTGCCTCAGAGTAGGGACTGGGTTCATATGAACACAGTGATGAGCCTGCTGTGGTGGTCTATTGAAGAGGGTCTTTTCTGTATTATGGGAAGAGAAGGGAAGTTGTGGACTGTCAATCACAGAAGCAGGGAGTGTGTGTGAGCAACATTCATGAGGTACCCAGTTTGAATACACTAAGCGATTCATATGGGTTGCCTCACTCCCTCCAATTGTGTGTGTATATACAAGGCTCAGGCATGCCCTTTTGTTACTCCTTGTGTGGAAAATCTTTGGGAATGTGTCCTGCTTTGAGTAGTCAGTCTCATGGAGGAAGACGTGTGTGGGTCATTCAGATTCTGATTAACAGTTTTGTTTCCCATCGTATTGTCATGTGAAAATGAAAACACCGTGACTTCTGGTAGGAAGGAAATTCCTCTTCTAATTCTCTAGAAGTGTGTACAGGGGTTTGCAGTTGGCTGTACATCTCTCCTTTCTTGCTGGCCCCCACACACCTCCATTGTCATCTCTTGGGAGTCTTCCCTGGTGTCCTCTTTTGCTCTTTTCTTGAACTGACTGGAAGCCGGCTAGCCTGGAACAGTGACTTGGCTGACATGCTTCTATATGTAGGCTCACTGTGGACTGCATAGCCATCACTTTTCTCAACTGTCCCTTAACAGCACACCTGACTGCCTGCAGTTTGTGCTTCCATATGTAGGCTCACAGTGGACTGCATAGCCATCAGTGTTCTCAACTGTCCCTTAACAGCACACCTGACTGCCTGCAGTTTGTGCTTCCATATGTAGGCTCACAGTGGACTGCATAGCCATCAGTGTTCTCAACTGTCCCTTAACAGCACACCTGACTGCCTGCAGTTTGTGCTTCCATATGTAGGCTCACAGTGGACTGCATAGCCATCAGTGTTCTCAACTGTCCCTTAACAGCACACCTGACTGCCTGCAGTTTGTGCTTCCATTACCTAGCAAATGAATATCTTGTGTAATATTTCTGTATCCTTCACATTCATAGTTCATGGGCCGAAATTAAGTAGGACTTGGCTAGGATGAGTGACAGACTGTTTACAGGGGACTGTCACCTGAAAGGACATGTTCATTAATTGGGACTACCCAGCAGGTGCCTCACACATTCTGTATGACTGTGATGATGTAGCTTACTGAACATTTTATTGCAGTGCTGAACACTATGGCACACGATTTATTCCAACCGTCTTACAGTGCATACACTCATCCACCTCACTCTTCTCTCCTGCACTACATGTTTCGGCACAAAGGTGCCATCTTCAGGTGCTTTTCGATTTACGATAAACTACTTCACTGCATGCCTTGCCGTCTTCATACTAAAATAACTAAAATATATGTTCATCATATATATTGATAAATATTAAATATTAAAAATATTAAAACTGTTCAGGATTTTTTCATCCTTACGTCGCATCTCAATACGCGAATCACACCTATCCTCTTCTATCGGAGCACTCTTCCTACTTTCGTGTGTGTATTATGCTTTGTGTTGTGTCTTGCTCCTGTGACTGCATGTGTTATATATATGATGAATATATATTTTAGTTATTTTAGTATGAAGACGGCAAGGCATGCAGTGAAGTAGTTTAACGTAAATCGAAAAGCACCTGAAGATGGCACCTTTGTGCTGAAACATATAGTGCAGGAGAGAAGGGTGAGGTGGATGAGTTTATGCACTGTAAGACGGTTGGAATAAATCATGGACATAAATCAGTGCAACAGGATGCTAAAATATAACACTATGGCACACACCTTAAATCACTATATGGTCACAGTGCATGGGCCAGTGTGGCATACACCCCCTATTCATTCATTCGCCACTTCTAACTTCTATATGGGAGGTGCCCAAGTTTAAACCCAGCTCGGATAATTGGTACTATCCTTGTGTTTTTCTTCTTTTGGTTTTCTTCAGTCCCTCCATGCAGATTCCATGGTTTCAGTCCATCCAGGCAGATTCCAGGGTAGTACCTCAAAGTATATCATGATTGCTTCCTTTTGGATGGTTTCCAATTATTCAGTTTCATCCATCCAGTCATTCATCACTTTGTAGTCAGGGCCACTAACTGCAGCCATATAAATAAATAGCTATGTAGGTGTCTTTGTGAAACTTTTGAGTTATTGAGGTTATGTGTTTTGAGTGACTTTTTGCAGTTTGCCATCAAATTTAAAACTGGTTTCATGCCAGTATGTGCTTAAAGGCCAGGGTCACTTCTGCCAATTTATATCTCATTTGCTATGCTAACATATTGTGTGTGTGAAATGAACATGTTTCTACAAACACATAAGCTCTAAAACTGCCGATCCTCTCAAATGAGATTGTTATATTTCTCAAAAATAGTTTACTCTACAGAAAGTTAACCTTTAAACGCCGGACTTCGAAATAGTGGTAAGCTTGAGCTGGCCGGAGTTTATTTAAATGCCCGCTGCTGGTGCTCGTTTAAGTGCCCATTGCTACTCTGCGTTTAAATGTCCGTTCCTGTTAGGCGCTTAATCAATTTTAAGCATTGTGTTTAAAAATGCTGTATCTAGCTCAATTTTTATGATAAATGGATGGAATTAACTTTGTTTATATGAGAAAAGAACGTACTGTCGCATATTATAACGGAAGATTTGAAATTTTTAATACAAAATGTTATACTCTATTTTCAATTTTTTTGTGTTTTAATTTTGATGCCTACTGCAAAAATGGTTTCCCAGTTCTTCACAGAGTTGTTCTGCATTATAAATTCATTTCTGTTTGTAACACTTGACAAATTTTAGCAGTCCCTGGTGTCGTAAAACAGATGGAAGCAGTAAAATCATTTGGTCTCCTGCTAGCACTGCTTACACCCTTTGGATTTTCGAATCTTTGACTGAAGGTCAGAAGAATGAAAGAATGGCTATTCAAGAGAAAGCTAGAGGGGTCCCTTCTTCAGTGCTAAGACCTTCCGTTATAGCTGCAAAAGCTTATTGCCCTTTCTATGGGCCTGAACAGACAGCTGTATCACGGCTGAGATTCAGAGTGTGGTCTGTTTTCTGTGCGTGCTTAGTGAAATCGAATACTGTAGTTTTATTTCAGCCTATATATACATCAAGCAGATAACAACATAAAAAGGTATGTACATCAAATTTTACAATATATTTTTAACATACCTATCTGCAGAATCTGCAATAAAATTACTGGATCATGGATAAGTTTTGGCATAACTCATACGTATATTTTTATTTGCTGTTGTTCAGTTAGGTATTATTTTAATTTCTCTATTAGGGTTTTACTCAAGTCTGTCTGGTAATTACTACATTTAAAAATAAATATTTAGGATTGTGCATGCGCTTCTACTAGCGGCGTGTGCGCGCGCTTCCACTAGCGGAGTTTAAATGCCTGACTGGCCAAAACGGGGTACTTTGGCCACGACGACCTTACTCATGACTGGCACAAACGGGGCACTTCGGCACTTAAAGGTTAATGAATATTGCAAAATGTAGATCTCATTCAGATGTATTAGGTACTTTTATTTGTTTTGTATGTGTGTGATGAAACAGGTGAGACTAATGTGTACCACTGCGGTATAGCTTTACTGTTGATCAGCTTTGTCATTGATATTGTCTCATGTATTAGTGAATAAGACTCAGGTTTGGATTGGTGAATCTGTTTATTGGATCTTCACTAGTCGTAACTACAATTAGTCTTAAACTCTCATGAACACTGTAACTATAGCACATAAAGTCTTCAGTGTCAACACTTCACAGGTGAATCCTTAAAACTCCTTTCTGTGACTGCTTTGTGTCCCTGACTCATGGCTTCTCAGCTGTGACTCCTGCAAACAACCTTTATTGTCTCCTATAAACCTTCAGCACCAACCACACAGAAAACACCTATTATTGTAGACATGTTTACAGTTCTGTTGCCCAGCACTGTGCATGGTGACGACCACATTGGAAACAAGTCACATGATAGCTATCTCGCCAGTCCATTGGTATGCTGACTGTTCCTAGCAACGAGCTATAAAAATACGTCCTGTTGTTGCATGAACATATTGTGGGGTGTTTATGGAGCTGTTGATATGTCACAATTATCTTTGTATCCGCAGTTGTGGCTCCAGAATTGCCCTCACATACCTATCACAGGTGAGTTCATTGTGCTTGACGGTAGATGCATAATTACACTAGATCTGAGTGTATTAAAGTAAATGGATTGTTATTGCTTGTAACTTGCAGAACACAAACTGAAGAGTGTGTCCGTGCTGTGGGTAAGGTACCTGTAATGCCTCTGTTTCAGGATCCAGTAGCAGTGGTGGACCTGACCCAGGAGTCTGACGAGGAGATGTTTCCTGTTAGTAGCAGTGGACACTCTGCTCGGCCTTCCTGTGTAGCTTCATCAGCCCCAGTCATGGTGACAGACTCTCCTGTGTCACCTGGCCACAGTTCATCCACTGGCCAATATGTCCCTTGCAGCACACCACCACCACGCGTGGCACCACCACCTCTGATCCGGCTTCGCCTACCGTCATGCCGGTACCAGTGTGGTGGGACTGAGACGGCTGAGGTTCCTCCCATGCCTAACAATACACATCACTGCGGTGGGCTTTATGGCAGTTGCATGCACCCACATGGGCGCTCTGTTCCATGGGGACAAGGTCCCAGTGGCCCAGCCACACACTCGTACCCACCTGCAGCCCACACCTACTGCCTGGGTGAGGATAATATTCAGGTGGATTTTAGGTTGAGGGCTAAGTGTTGTGGATAAATTAGTAAGGATGCAGTGGACAGGGTATGGGTAAACTAGAAATGCAAACAAAATTTTTGATTTTAAGAAGGAAGAATATATGGAAATAAATCTTAGAGAAATAAATTTTTAAAGTTTGAACTGTATCTCTATTAATCTAGTGGCAGGTTTCTGTGATGGCTGTGAGTGTATGACCACAACAACCATTGTTTCATGTCTGATTTCAGATCCATCACTCAGGCTTTCCCCTTTCCAGTATGGACAACCATCACAGCTACATGCGAGTGGGGGATTCCCATACTTCCCTTCTTTGCCTCCAGCCACTCCAGCTCCTCCTCGTATCTATCCCCTGCATGAGCGGTTGTGGCACTCCCAGCAGCGTATGCAGGAAATTCAGCGGCGACGACTGGACGCCCACTCCATGCATCTCCAGGGGTAGTGCATTGTTACATAATTTAATCCGTAGTGCTTGAGTGTTTGGCAACACACTGCTTATAGCCGGAACCTAACATTGCTTAAATATCAGTCGAGAATAATGACTTTTAAATCTTCCCGTGACACAGCTTGGCTGGTTAAGAAGGTCTTTTGTTCACTCTGCATCCCCTCAAGCTGAGCTGACCTCACATGACCTTGATCTTTGCCTTCTCAAATTTGCCCTTCCATTTATATTATAGCTTGTTACACATTTTTGCCTGTTTGCATCCCTCACTGATTGTGTCTGTTCAGACGAGTGTGTTTAATGCACTGTAGGTGTTTTAACTCCCCATCAAGCCAGTATTAGGCTGAAGTTCAGATTGTGTTGTACAAGGCAGAAACTTGCACAGAGAAACTGTACGTGGATGGTGGGCAGAATTAACAAGGGGGCCGCTGAAGTAGATTCACTAGATGATTCATGGTAGAAGCCTTCTCTGCACTTATTTCTCTAAGTTTGGTGTCTGACTACTGGTATTGTTCAAGTGTTTGTCATGTCTGTTGCAGCCGCCCACGAGAGAATCTATTTCTGGATGTCTACCAACAGCAGCAGCAACAGCCTCAGCAGCAACCACCACCACCACCACAGAACCACCACACGCAGCGCATGTCTTCCCAGCAGGGACACCACTCATACGGACTGCACCACCATCACCACCACCACCATCCGCACCACTATCATCATCATCAGCCTCCTCTTCCTACCCCCCAGCAGCCAACCGTGTACAGCCGCCCAGAAGTGGTTCCCACTCCTGGTCCATCTGCCATGATCCCCCCGCCTGGCCCTCCTATGGTGAGTAGCAGCATGTGACATAATTTCAGGCTACTGTGGCCAGACGTGTAGCTCAGATGGGGACACAGAAGTGCACAAGGAACTTCGGTGGCTGAAGTGGTCGGTTTGAAGGCCGAGAAAGAAATGGGAGAGTTGCAAACTACATTTTGGAACAAAATGTCCAACAGTTTTGTGGCTTTCTGCTTTCATACAAGTAGATGCAATATTTTTTAAATAAAGATGGTTAATGGTCTTGGTGTTAATAGTGCCATTTGTAATGAATTTCTTTATATGAGTGTATAACTGATGCCAGAAGCAGCGTCACCAGCAGCGACTTGAAGCACAGAGTAAATGATGCTCGAGATGGTTCAAGTTCATATTGCAAGAGGCGTGACCAGAATGGTTTGAAGGCTGATGTACTTCGATGTGGAAAGCAAATGGAAAAACTACCACATTATCGTTTTTCCTGGATAGTCTCTTTCCAAAATCAAGATACCATGTATGTGAGATGTTTTCTCTGGAGACAAAACAAACTGGAGTGGCGGATAGAAACGACCAGAAGATGAGGAAGAAGACGTAAGAAGATGCTGGTTGACTTTGGGGGCAGAAGAGGATATTTTTATTTTAAGGAGAGAGCTGGAGATTGCATTAAGTGGAGGAATTGTTTTGGAAGAGACTGGCCCTGTCGTCTGACACATTACTGATGAATGAATGAATTTTGTCAGATGGCAGATTGCTATGTGTCTATCATGATACTTTGGTAGCAGAACATGAAGTTCAGCAGCTCTCATCATCACTTCTCCCCAAAATCATTTTAATATTTTCCTCCCGTATATATATATATATATAGTCACATGTTGGGTGTGTCACGTGACAAATTCACGTGGGTCTCGGATTCAGCGAATCTTTATTGAATATTCACTCTTACACCCTTTACAATTGTTATCAGTTGTAGTATTGATTGGCTTGTGCCTCAATGCTTGACTCTCGGTTCTCTAACAATAGTCTAGTATATGTCCTAAGCTCTGCTTATATAACAGCGGTAACGTGTTTTTTCTCATCCGTTGGTACTCAGCAGCCTTCTGTTGTTCATCTCCCGTGAAATGCGTTCGTTGTTTCGGCATTGTCTACATAGCGGCCCACTGTTATTGCGTTGCCATGGAAGTATCTACTCCAAACACGTTACAATATATATATATATATACAGTAAAACTTGGTTATAGCAACATCGGTTTCTGCGACACCTTGTCTATTGCATCAAATATTCAATGGTACGAACTAATTCCTCATAAAGCAACTGTTCTTATACCTTGCTTAGTACGACATGCACAAATGCATCAACCTCGTATGTAACGTCATTTTCATTCCTGAATTTCTCTGATATCGTGGGAAAGTTCGATGTGTCTGCCCACCCTCACTTTCTCTACTTGCTGACGTGACTGTCCTGGAAGAATACGACTGCGGGCTGCAAGAGGAGCGTGGGTTTTATGCGAAAACAAGGGTGTGGGGTGGGACTGCGTGAATAGTGCAAGAGGACGCGGCAGGTCGTTAACTGCATTCCTTTCCTAGAATCTCGTCTAACAGGACCTCACATTGTCTACTTACCCTATAGTGTTCCTGCCTAAACCCAGAGAAGTGCAGTAGCGAAAACATGGCAATGAAAAGGAAAGTTTTAAGCATTGAAGAGAAAGTTAAAGTGATTCGTGAAATAGAAAATGGAAGGAAAAAATCTGATGTATGCCGCGAATTTGGTTTGGTGAATTCTACAGTAAAAACGATATGGAGATTCCATATTAATTCCACGTTAATGTTACGTTAGTCTGTACTTAACTACGTATTTCACTAAAAAATGCAACATTTAACTCTGTTTTTGTTAGATTTTTACGTGACTAACATAAGGCTACTGTGGAAGTGCCCATTTCGGTTACAACGACATTCGTTTATGGTCCCTTTGATGACGTTATAACCAAGTTCTACTGTATATGTATGTATGTATGTATGTGTGTGTGTATGCCAGCTGTTGAAGAGTTCCTTTTGATATTATATCCTAAGGGTTTGCTTACTGTATTCTCCTTAGATCCTCAATACTTCGTTTTTGGACAGTTGTAATTCACTTTCTTCCCTCAGGCTAAGAAACAGCATTTTGTGATGAAAGAAAGAAGTGGTGAAATTATTACTTTATTATGTGACTTGAACTATTTCTTACGCACCCAAGGTGAAAACAGTTTTTGAGCTGAATAAGGAAATTCATTTTGTGATCCTGTACTTACCAGTAGCTGTTCCTAGGTTCTTAAATTAGGAAACATTTGCAAATCGTTACCAAGGTATGTAAGAATGGAGAATTTTGGAGGGCTGTATATTTGGATTTTGTTGGTCTGGGCTGTGATACTATGTTGTAGTATGGTAGATTGCAGCAGTGCTGTGGGAAACTTGCAAATTTCTTTGTGAAAATGATCTTACCCCCCACTATTATGGTTTTGTGTCATCTCCAGATCTCCGCGTATGTATAGTAGAGCTGTGTGTTATTGTGTATGCAGGTTCCTCCCCCTCTGCAGGCCCCTGATGTAGATTTGCTGACTGCAGGCGGGGTTGTGCCACCACCTGGCTCCATGGTTCCTGATATCCAGACTGAAATTGTGGTGCAGAGCTCTCCACCCAGTATGACCATGTGAGTCACTATGCCTGGTATTTCTCCAGGCACATGATCAGAATATTTGATGCCTGATTTACTTGAAAATGGTCTGGCAAGTTAAATGTCACTGTCTGACCTTTCTGTAGAAATGAAAATATTTTCTCCAGAAATCTGGGTAGGATCTGTGGTAATTTTCGGCAGACACTGTTCGTAGTCTGTACACAGTTCAAATCTGCATTGCATTTGATAATGCGGGCCACTGTTACATGGAACTGTTGGATGTGACATCAATTTGCGGTGGTAGGGAGAAATTGAATTTGTAAAACTCTTCTTATATATAAACTAACTTTGATGTCACGAAACATTGCACAGGTGAATCTCGATTTATGAAGATAATTTGTTTTATGGAGACTTTGTAAGTTGAAAATTCGTAAATCAGCTGTAATATTCCCGTTACTTTACACATAAAAGTTTGCCAACCTGTTCACGAGTCCTAGAAAACTTCATAACTTGTACTCTTCTCCAAGTATAATTAGAATGATCAAGTCAAGGAGGATGAGGTGGGCAGGTCATATAGCACGAATGGGGGGAGATGAATGCGTATGGGATATTGGTGGGAAAGCCAGAAGGAAAGAGACCACAGGGAAGACCAAGGTGTAGGTGGGTGGACAATATTAAAATGGATCTTAGAGAGATAGTATGGGATGGTATGGATTGGATAGATCTGGCTCAGGATAGGGACCAATGGAGGGCTCTTGTGAACACGGTGATGAACCTTTGGGTTCCATAAAATGCTGGGAAATTCTTGAGTAGCTGCAGAATTGGCAGCTCCTCAAGAAGGGCTCAGCTCCATAAGTAAGTAAGTTGATAGTAAATAAGCTAAAGCATATTGATACTCTTGTATGATATTTATTGTAGTTGATAAAACAGTATGTTTTTATTCATGTGAATTTTCTCATAGCTGATGCAATTGAATAGTGCAGCTTATAACCAAACTTATTGCTGTCCCTACTTTCTTTGGCTTAGCAATGCCTCTTACAACCACTTTCACTTTTGGGGACCTGTTGTGGGCATGAGTAACATATTTGTGGATTGAAATGTGTCAAGAGCATTGCTGATTCTGTATGATTAAAACGATGTGCATGGACAGGCTGGGAAGGTGGGAGATGCATGTAGGTGGGGATGCTTGTATCTCCATGGTTGGTGTGTTTATATTTCTCTACTTCTGCCCCCCAGAAACTTTTACAGATATAGGTTGTTTGTTCTAGCAAAAATGAAGTTCATTGCATTAGAAATAGGTAGAGATTAACATGCTTTATTGCATCAAACCTGGTAAAATGAGGTATACATGTACAAGTTAATTTTCAGTTATAGAATTCGTAGATAAATTGTTCATTCTGACATATTCTTGATGTCATACTCGGCACTGTAAGTACAAAGCCCAGGGTCCTATACTGATGATGATGATGATGATGTCATGAAACCATTATCTTGCCCATGTAAGAATGGAATGTATGAAATATGTAGGAATTCTTTTTTGGCCTAACTTGCGCCAGTAGTACCAGATAGCTCGTGGCTGCAAGGATGAAGGACAGTTTGTGGTGTATGAGTTCTGAGCTCAGAACTGTGGGAACCCCCAAGCATAGTCCTGGAGTCTGTTTTGCTTCAAGGATACTCATGAGCATGGTGCTGTGTTGCAGGGAGAGCTCTCATCAGCATGTGCACCACCACCTGTACCACTACCACCCACCTGGACGTATGCATCACCTGCACATTAGCATTGCTCCCACCATGGTGAGTACCAGTAACGATAGCTTTAAACATTTCATTATATTTACCCGACAATTTCCAGGATAGGCAACTCCCCCCCCCCCTTAGTTGTGTAACACGTTTGATGAACAGATACATTGCCATTGTGCTGTGTGCGAGTAAAGGACGCTGCTGTGGTATGTGTGTCACAGGCGGCTGGCAGCCCACGCCCACAGGAGCTTGTGTTCCCACCTGTCCTGCCACCTGAACTGATGCCATTCCCGTTCCTGGCACGTCATATGACTGCCCGCCTGGAGGACTACATGCGTGTCGTGGAACAGCGCCGACTGGCACAGATGAACCGAGGTGCCAGTCAGGATACCATAGAGCGCTACACTTTCCCACACAAGTACAAACAGGTGAGTTACATTGTGTGGTGTTCAAGAGATGTAAGCAGTGAAAGTGACTACATTTACAAAAATGTTATTATTATTGATGACAATTGGGAATTTGAAGTAGGCCATTACCATTTCCTGCTCAGTACACAATTCACAGTCATTCCATCACTGACCACTGTGTAATGCACCTGCCTCTGTGGTGGGTGGGTGCACGTCTCACTGACACTTGTGCTGTGAGTGCGAAGAATGTACTGCCATGTAGTCAGGCAGAAATTCTCCAAATAAATGAGACATGTCTCACTTCATCATTTACTTACTCTTCTGCTGTTGCTTCTTTTCTCTTGCTTGGCTTACTTGTTCACCCTGAAGGTGGAGACAGTACACTCCTTAAATAGCTGACGAACTTCTGACTATGCAACATCATTCAGATGGATAGTGCTCCTCTTTTTAATGTGACATAAGTCCCATACTGTCTGTCCTTGTCCCAGCATTTTGCCACTTCTGAAGAAATCTTGAGGTTCATATGGGCACTAGTCCCCAGTTCAGTTTTCACCTCTGTGTTTGAGAGGTGGAAGTAACATGGCTGGCAGATCAGCTATAAGGAGGATGGGCAGTAGTCCAACAAAATTAAGTCAGAATAGCTATTGGTGTCTGGGCAAGCAAAGAAAATACCATAATACAAGATCTGGTCACTGGTTACATTGAGTTCAAGTATCGTATAGTGATGTGAATAACATCTTGTCAGCTGTACCCAGTGCTGAATTATTCGAGTGGTGGTGGGCTAGTGTTGTGACTGAATGCTGTAGTGTTTGCTTTTTTGTGTAAAGTGACAGACCCATCTCTCGTCAGAAGTCATGATACAGAATGTGAGAATCTTAACCAGCATTCTTTCTTACTTTGGCAACTGCTCATGTGTTGACATTCACCATTGTGATATAATGGACCATAGTGCCCTTGCAGCCAATTCTGCCGTTCTTGATGCTGATTCCTATTACCAATATTCTTCTTTCACTCTGTGGCAGCTCATCACGTATCAGGTGCAGCTGCTAGCCTCACTTTACGCACTTCATTCTTGATACGTCGGCAACTCCATCACGCTGTCATCTTTAAGATGTCCCATTGACTTTGAAGCCTCTGATATAGCCATGTCTTCCTTACAGAGGAACTAATCTGAACTGAAATGCATGCACTGTTGTGTTTCATACTGATGGATTGATGTGCTGAGCAGAGATTATACTGATGGCATGCCTTATTAACACTGTGTAAGGAGTATAATTTCTAAGATACTGTAAAGATAAAGCTATCCCTGTAACATGCCGTGGAGGCCCATAGGGTTGTGAGATGTTGAGGCTCCCACATTTTCTAGGCATTTGGCTCACAGATGGTGGTGAGGTTGTCAGCCTTATGTGTTGGCTGCCCTTGCCCCCAGGAAGTTTCCTGGTACTCATTTCTGTTAGAGGCTGAGTTGACCCTGGGGTCATAATGCCGCTGAAAGGATTAGGTCCATTGAAAATGGCAGTGATCCCATTGGGAATCAAACCCACGACTTTCAGGCATGTAGTGCATATCATCACTACCAGTAACAGCTGTACTGCCTGTTGCAGGTGAAGAGGACCACTGATGACACGGAGGATAACACAGAGAAGTGCACCATCTGCCTGTCTGAGTTTGAAGATGACGAGGATGTCAGGTGAGCGGCAGGCAGTGCATATGAGGTGTGTGTGGGGCTGGGGGCAAGGGTTTTGTACATTTCTTCATGAGTTTGGAAGTTCTGACAGCAGTGAACATTAAGATTGGGTTCGAGGATATGATGCCCTGTAGTGTGGTCAGTGGTTACCAAGTTTTCAAAAGAACCTGCTGCTTCTATCTTCAAGGTAGGTAAATGAGTGGGTTGAAGGAAATGGTACCTTATAGGGGAAAGGAGCTTTGAGGATAGGGCTGTGAATTACTGGCTCCCAATAGAGGTGTAGGCAGTTTGATCCTGTATGCTTATGTACATGGCATCACTTCCCAATCGGATGCAGTCTTAATACTCGTTATTTCCAGAGCATATCAGAAAGCTGTGAGTCTGCTGTAGACGCTAGCAGATTGCTTTTCTGGAATTGCCTCCTCGGTGTTAGTTTACTTTTAAATTCCTGCAGTTGGAGGTGATGTTGCTAAAACTGTGTGGGGGGATGGTGTATGCAGATGTACACAGCTTTGCTTGACAAGGTGTTCTTTCTCTTGTGGCCTTTCTTTGCATGTTGGGGTGGGGGGGGGGGATTGGGAAGTAATAATGTAGTGTTAAATGAGAAATTCTGTTTGATGATGACCAGACTGTCATGACATCAGATTTACATCAGCTGAATTGTTTACTCAGTACTTATAAAATACACAGTGTTTTCTTTGAGTGACAGTCCCGTGCAATTTGTCAGATAAAATTGTGAGGAAGTATGTCGCCAGCGTTTGCTGGCATCGGAATCTGAAAGTTTGTGTCCTTTTGAACTGGTCGAGTTGCAAGTACTTTTTAATGCTGAGAGACATTTGACTGTTGCAGACGTTTGCCCTGCATGCATCTGTTCCACATCGAGTGTGTAGACCAATGGCTGGCGACCAACAAGCGCTGTCCTATCTGTCGTGTGGACATAGAGACACACCTAAACAAGGAGCTGCCATCCACCTGACAGTTACTGGAGTGCCACAAGGACTGAGGAACTCTCCCTACATATGTCTTCCAGCCATCATACTGCAAGTGGCTGTTTCTTGGCTGCTTCTCTGCTCTGCGGGTCAGAGTCATGTTTTGTAATGTTGGCAGTTCATATTGTGTTAACTATGTTGTTCCCCTCTAGGTTTTGCCAACCCAACAGTGGTACAGAGTCCTTGTAGGCATTTGTTTTATTGTATTGTCCGTTGAATTATCAATGGAAATATTTTAGATTTTTTTGGGGTGAGATATGAAATTCAGTGGGGCCAGTTAAAATCCAAGCTGCAGGATCTCTTTTACTGAATGGTTTTTTTTTTTTTGTTTTTTTTTTTTTAAGTTTTGCTGTTAATTGAAATTGGAGTTATGGAAATGTGTTTATTGACTTGCCAGCAGAACATGTTTGTGATTGCGAGATACCGTTTTATCCAGGTTACACACTGAAACCAATACCAGCCACAGTCCGCCCCCCTGGGGCCAGGCTGCAACAAACATTCCAGTAGTGCCAACAGCACAGGTTTTGTTCTGCAGTGTCATCAAGTTGGAAGTGTGACTCACTTGTTAGACGTTTTGTAGGGTATTGAAAATGAGTGACCAAACTGATTTTTAAAGTTTTGCACTGCATTACTGTGCTGTATTTTTTTAAGTACAATGATCAACACAAAAACAGGCATGCAGTTACGATAGTTCAGTGCTGATAGAACTGGCAGCCATGTAATGTGAATGGGTCATGTGGCGCACTAAAGTGAATGATGTTCATGTTGATTTATATGCGAATAGTTTTGTTTGGTGACCTTCAGTTGTACATACACATTACGGAGAACCCACTGATGATTTGGGGCACCATCACTGAGGTCTTCCTCAGTCATGACTCTTGTGGTGATAAATCTGAGTGTTTTTGCAGTTTTTGTGAATCTGATAAAGTGGGCCTGCAAAGTTCTAGTTGAATTTGGCATTAGGTGGGCCTGCGATAATAAGGAAACACGTCAGTCAAAGCTGATGCTGCCTGTGAGGCCGACAAGGGAATGAGTCCAGTCGAAACCTCACCTGAAATATTGCTCATGTACAGGGCCCATCGAGAATTTCAGCTGCTGGTACGTTATGCAAGGGTGCAAACAAATTTCTGAAAGCTTGAATGTGCGTCATGGCAGTGTGCCCTTACATGCTGATAGGACAGCAAGAGGCAGGCTTCCAAGTAGCTAGTTGCTTAGCTAGTGTTGTGTGCACAAGCACAGGACACAGCTTCATTCTGTTAATGCTGTTTTAATATAAAGTGAATAAGCAGTGATCATCGAACTTTATTTTCATGAGCATTCTATGAACTCCACTTGATCTATATTATATAATGTATGGTTATAATATGTGTGATATAATTATATGTAATATAATAAAGGAAATCCTGTTGCAGATACCTCTGTTATCTTAGATAACATCTTGAAATCTTTTACGATCGCTATCCTGTTCCTATAAAATTCCCATTATTAATTTTTTTTAACAATATTACATACATATCAATGTAATTAGTCCTTTTGAAACTATGCATATGAAATAAATAAGTGAACACTGAAATCCGCAGATATTTCAGTGCATCTGAAGGTAAGGCGACTGCTTCATGCCACCAAAAATTGGGCTGCTGTGACAGGTGACTTTCAGTTGACATATCAGCAGCTAAATTCTGTGTGCAGTTGTTCTAGGTGGGCCATTTACATGAGCAGAATTTCAGGTGAGGTTTCTGTTTGACCAATGAGACTGTTTCCTTGTAAGTGTGGTCATATTCAGAGACTGTGGAACCTTTTTGGCTAAACCAGAATACCGTCAGGCCAGAACCTGCGAGTTCTATGCTGCACATGAGGACATGTAAACACAACACTTCTCTTGAATGGCTTGCCTTTCTAGTGCACATCTACACGTGATGGTTCTGTTACATATAGATCACAAGAACAGGAGTTGGATTCATGATTGGGGCAGGCATCGAGACTGACTCTGGGATCTGACCAGTATGTACTAGGGGTAAAGTAGCCAGGTAATGGATATCATATGGAGTGTTACTTTTGTTCCCGTATGTGCCTCAGTAGGCTCAGGGGTAACTTTTTCTTTACCTTAAAGAGGCAGTGGATGTGATTATTTTACTTCGACATTTGACATATATTTACAGAACCCTGTCGACCACTGAGTTTTGTATGCCCTGGTGACTGGTTTGTTACATGTGTCATACATAAATATACTGCATGTTGGTGGTTGCAGTGGCAACACTTTTTTCATGAGAGGAGCAGGAAAATTCAGGCTTGTGGAAGTGTGCACATGACAGCAGAATGGCCTCAGAATCCAAAGGTGGTGCTTGTAGTTTCACAGTATCTGTCCATTTAGGCCCATAAAAGTGATTTTGGTAGCTCTCCAAATTTGCCTGTCCCATCTAGGAATGTGAGAAGTTTGTGCTAAACAAGATGCTTGTCAAGTTACCAGCTTACAACTATACTATTGGTGAAATAGTGTCTAGCATGGAAAGGGTTTATTTCCTTTTGTAAATATCTGGTCATCGGGTGAAAGATGTGCACGTAAAATGTGTATCTTCAGACATGAATATTTTCAGAAACATGTAGCAGAATTGTGAAAGTGGAAATTTTTAAAGGATCATTTTTTGTTGTTGAGTAAGACGACAGTTTTGTCAGGAAGAACTACCAACTTGGGGGGGTGCCACTGTGTTCTTAGATGTGGGACTGGTCCCCCAAACCTCTCTAGTCTTCATTAAGTAGTTTTACTCCTCAGGGCTCTGTTTCCAGCTTTAAACCAATGGCTCCCAGGAAGTGCTGTCCTCCAGGTTGTAGAGAAGGTGGCATGTATATCTCTCACAGAACCCTGAACCAGCATCGCCCTCAGCAACCTGCTCGTATCTTGTATTCGCTGTAAAGTATTTACATTTTAGATATGTCAATCTGTAGTGACTTGTTGTTTTTGCAACTAATAAAAAAGATTGTGAAGACAGTTGAGGTACCACTTTCACCTCTCCTGCTATGCACTATGCATGTTTGTCTCCACTTTTCTTTTAGGTGATCTCCAATTCAAGCATCAGAATAATCCTTGAACAGCATGTTTCCTCCCATGTATCCTGACACCAGCATTTGAATCTTCTAGTGAAAGGAAAATTATTTATTCTGCTCCCATGTAGCACGATCTAAGCCAGAATGTAACTGACTTTAGAAAGTTGTGCAGAAAGAAACATCTGTCAAGTTCTGCTGGTATATGCAGTAGCTTCACTGGTGAGTGATGCTTAGCGCTGTTATTCTCCTCTCCATGTTTGCAACATCCATAAGACTGACGCATCATGTCGTACAATGTCTGCAAAAGATTGGGAGGTGTCAATAAAAACTTTTGTAGAGTAGTAGTAATTGTCATGTGTCCTGTAGGAAACATTGTCCAGATTCCTTTTATCGCTCTCTCCTCTGGCTCTTGGCTGCCCAATTTATACCATGCTGAACATACCCGGGCAGTAGACAGACATCCTGCATAAAACCTAAGCGCACTCTAATGTCAGCTCAGAAATTTCATTCTCCCAATCTTGTTTTCAAGTGTGAGTGTAGTACAGTATGGTCATGTTTTGCTGTACGGATGGGAAGCAGAGGAAGTGATGTTAACACTTCGCGGACCGGTGATTTAAATATTTAAATCACCCTGGGGACCGGCGTCTTTAAACCAACTACCCTAACTTGTGCACTGTTCACTTTAAAAATTAATATAAAATCTCCTAATTAATTTTATGAACTAAAATTTTTGGAGAAGACTTACCAGAGCTCCTAGAAGTGCTTCAGAGTGTGATATTTCTGGAAACATTCCCCTCTGGATCAGTGGACCAATAGTCTTTCAAATTATCTCTCTTTGTAAACCCCATTAGAATGATTATTGCCAAAAATTTTTTCATTTCTGCTGAAGTGACATCCACCCACTTCAACACCTTATAGGTACTGTCGTACGCCTCACGGTGTTGGAGATAGTATCTGTTGGTCTCCTGACACAGCATGTCAAAGAAACTATCTCTAAAAACAGTTCAGCTACTTCAGACATTTGCGTAGGGTCTGATGGCATTTGTCTCTCCCCTGGATCACCAAGTATACTTTCCCAAAGTGGGTGTTTTGCCCACTTTACCCCATGTGGCTGTCCCCGCAATGCTAGCACTCGCACTTTCATCGGAGCTCTCACTGTCACTTTCACTTTCTCTTCTGGTCACAATATTTTGGGGGCCCCTGTCACTGCCACTGACACTGCCCTCGCTATCAGAAGACGAAGCAGTTGGCAAGTCAGATAACTCATCGGAGATCAAATCACAGATTTCTTCTTCTCCGAGAGCTCGCACGGCCTTCAACTGCTTTCGTCTCTGAGCCATGTTGACGCTGAGAATATCTTGCCTCACACATAGAAGCTTCGACTTGAACAAAGGGACTTTTCTTTAGAGTGAGAGGGGAGTAGAGAGTGGTCACGTTGCTGACTCGGAAAACAAACATTCCGAAGGTCAGCTACGCAGTACTTTTACAGACACATGGCCAGGAATAGTGTGTTGCAACATAATGTGTACTAAAAACCTAAATCTAGGTGACCGGTCTGCCACGTTTAAAACCCAAACGCCTAGGCGTAGGCATCCGGTCCGCGAAGTGTTAAGCTGTCATGCAGGTGCTCAGTTCAGGGAACCAGCCTCGGCTAACTCTGGGAACACAGCATGTTTGAATCTTGGAATGTAGGATGTTTCAGGAACCTGTTACTGCAGCCTGTGTGCTGAAGTACGGTGTGATCTCTTTGATACGCAGTGTATCTGAGAATAATGTTACCACACTGCACATTTTTGCATCTCATTGCTAGCATTGTAGATCATGTTTGCACACTAATGGCAGACATTTTGAAAATCGTCAACGGTAACAATTTGAAATTTCTTTATTGTCAATCTCATTTGCTGTTAATGTGCTGTAAATGAGGGTTGAAGGCTGAAAGGAACGTAGCATCTGGGACACTGCATGTGAGACATGTTGAACAGAAGACCAGCACAGACCACTGTAGGTCACGGTGCAAGGGCTGAGAAGGCCTACCCCTCATACATTCATTCATAAGGTCAAGTAAAGCCTAGCTCAGTAGCAGTGGGGGGTTGAAGCTGTGCACCTAAATTGCATTCTGCAGAAGTCCTTGAAAATGAGCGACAGGTACAATAATAACTAATACGAACAGGTGGCCAACACAAAACTCTACTGTCAACGTAATGTGTGGCTGAGTTGTTTCAGCGTATGCATTATGATACTACTGAGAGTAGGTTTCATTTGTTATAGAACTGTTATGTTTGAGCTGATTATAAACCTGACAGTGTAAACTCCAAATAGAAACCAACAGAATGTGTCCACTCACAGGGTCCTAAGATACTCTGAACTTATTTTAATTTTGTTATTGATATAATCCACGTATATATATATGTTCACACACCACAGTAAGTTCTTGCACAAAACGGTATGTGGACACACCATGTGTCCAGAGAAAACAGCGTAATTGAAGTCGCCACTGACAAAATGCTCTTAGCAACCTGTCGAAAATTAGTCTCTGCCATCAGGTATTGTAGCCTTTCAGATGGCATTGCACATAATTTGCAGATCGGAGATTCAGGTCCAGCTGTGCCATAGCTCAAGTGGTTAGTCACCAGCTTCTCACCACAGTGGACCAGGTCAGATCATATGGAATTTGTGGTGGACAAAGTGGCACTGGGACTGATTTTCTCTAAGTACTGCTGTTTCCCCTGCCAATTCTTTTTCCACCACCTGCTCCACACATTATCTATCATCTGGGGCTGGTGCAATAGGCCAAATAGTGGCTGACATACCGAGTAGACTCAGTCTCACCCCGCCCCAAGGGACTCAGAAAAACATTCAGGTATCACACACACAAATGTGATGTGAATAGTTATCCCAAGGGACGTAATTCTGCTTCCGGATCTGAAGAGCAGACGTTGTGTAACTGTGACTGGAGAATCTGTTGCAGGGGACACTCGGGCCTCAGTTCAATGCAGTGCAATTCCCTGAACTCTAGGTACTGTAGCCATGCAGAATTATATGAGATTGGAGGTGATCCAGTCCAGGAAGGCAGTGACCCTTGTATAGACGCCTGGATATCCAGGTTCCGCGCACCGAAATCCAAATGACACAATGCCAATCAGGTAGAACCGCTGGCTCTTGGGCCACATAAGTGGCCCACCGGAGTCACCCTGTAAATATTTGATCATATACAAGAGTATTAGTAGTGGCAGCGGTCTCATTTGTTATGGTCCAAGGTACTGCAGTGTGACAAACTTGAAATTCCAGACCTACCTGGCAAGCGTCCTTCCCCCCTTGAGCATACCCTGCACACATAACATGATCGTCAATGTGGGCTGTGCTGAATTTCTTGAAGGCGTCCCTGCACTGTGCCTGACTGACTACAGGGATCTGCAGCTGTTGCAAATGAGAGGAGGATGGGCCATCTGAAACAGTACACAATGTGGCACAAGGACAGGAATGAGAAACCTAACTGCAGTGTCCTGCCTGATACTCACTGAACTGGACGGAGCCCCACCCTGCAATGTAGGGGAAGTTCCTCACAAAGTCCCGGGTGCGAATCTCTGGAGCAAGTGGCAGGCAGATGGGCCGAATGAGGGCTGCAAACACAATGGGCTCAATGATAGGTGGTTGTTGTTGTTGTTGTTGTTGTTGTTGTTATGATTTGTATCCTGGTGTGTATAATTGTCATTGGTACTGGGGCCATCAACACAACAGTAAGTTGGTTGATTATAATTTTTATAAGCAATTGGAACATTATATGCAATATAACAATCAATTATAATTGTCACACTACATGTTTGGGTCTGGAAACCATGATCAGGTATATATAAATAAATACATATAATGTCATTGCAGATTTGAATTGTTAAATGGATCTATTTTCCAAATCTCATACATTTTTTAAATTTTTAATTTGTAATTAAAAAAAAATGTGATGTTTGGAAAATGGATCCATTCAACTACACAATTGTGCAATGACACATTATATTTATATACACCTGATCATGGTCTCCAGACCGAAGCATGTAGTGCGACAATTATAGTTGAATGTTATATTGCATATAATGTTCCAATGTTCCAGTCACTTATAAAACTATAATGGAAATCAGCTCAACATGGGTACAAAGGAGGCCACAAAATATGTTGGAAGGAAGCGAAGGTGTTGCTGACGGAACCAAACCACCTACAGGAAATGCAAGTAAGGCACCCACATGTCAGTCAACCCAGATGGACTCCCATTATCGCAGCAGAAGTCAGAAAACTACAACTCTGCCCAGTGTAGGTTATGTGTGATATGTGCTTTTATGTTGGTACCATACAGAGAATTTGTCTCTTTAGTGATGAATTCTATTCTGATAGTTCTCTGATTTTAACAAAAATAGTCATGAAATAGTGCATGGCTTCCTATGTGTGAAGTTTTTTTTATGTTTTTAATGACCAACTCTATTGATGGGGTCCAACTGAGTAGGTTCCACCTGAAGATGGAAACAGAATCCAGTCTCAGAAACGTTGTGTTCTAAATAGAAACAGGATGATGGATAATGTCCAGAAACACAATAGCTGAACCCACTTACTCTTGTGACGCTGGCCTCAGTACAAGTGCATGTTACTGTGAGAGTGACGATGAAGTGACATGTACTTCAACATGGAAATTGAGAGTAACATCTGATCAAGCACAAGGTGATGCTCACATGTATGGCATAGTGTTAAGATATTTAACAGTGCAATAGGAATCAAACTGTAATATATGTAAGATGTACAATGTTGTTGTTAGACAGAGGCTTGGAAATGCAGAAAATCGTCCCTCTTGAACATTTGGCCATGAACTTACCTGTGAAGGTGACAGCATCCTGCAACCTCAGAATGGCAATATCATTAACGAAGGTTGTTGGGTTGTATTCCTCATGTACCTTCCTGTCCACTATCAAGATGTCAGTTGGTGTGGCCCCATCGTTGTCGTCTTTCAGGTCCAGTTCACCAAGCCTTGCCATGTACCTGCAACATGGTATTTCATAATTCGGACCTCACCACCTCTGCAAAGATTGGAGCAGTATGTCCATCTTGGCAGTGTTGGTCTGACATTCATCTGTTACCAAATAGACAGGGGGCACGCGGTAGCATAATTGGTTGAGGCACTTTGCTACAAGCAGGAAGGTCAAGGGTTCAAGTCCCGATGAGGTGGATTTTTTCAATTTTCCTAATCCTTCTGGTCGTACTATGGTGCTGCGGTCAACTGAGCCTCTAATAGAAATGAATACCAGGAATCTTCCTGGGGGACAAAGGCTGGCTGGTGTGTAAGGCTGACAACTTTACTGCCATCTATGATACGACTGTCTAGAGAAAATGTGGGAGCCTTGACATCTCACGGCCTTCACGGCCTCTTAGAGGGATAGTTTACCTTAGATAATCTAGACACAAATTATTTTGCTTGAACAAGTTAAACATAAATCATGTCAAAGAAATGTTTTGAACAAACGTTATGGATCTTAGTACTATACTTCACATCACATTTGGTATGACAAGTCTTTTTTTAGTGGTAAGTTCAATCTAAGCGTGCTGAAGCAGACTTTTCTGGACATGAAAGGTATGGATGAAGAGACATGAAGTCCCATTCTGTGTTTATTTCAGGTAACCTAACCTGGTGTGACACTCACAAGTCCCTGCGGCCGTGCACACAATGTCCTGCTGTGATGACATGCTTATGGGTGATAAGGGCACTGCCACACAGGAACTTAACATCTGCAGAGGGTGATGACTTGTAACCCAGCGCCACAATCCAGGGCCATGCGCCTGTAACCACATGCCAACCTTGTGAACCTATTTGACTGAGAGCCACAGTGCAAGGATTGTTATCCATGCATGTAATGATTTGGATGGTCAGCCGTTTCAACCCCGTGCAAAACATTTATTTATACACTTCTAAAGCAGTGACACATATGCACTGAGGCACTGAGCTGACAGACTCATAGTGACTAAACAGTGTAAAATTAAAATAGGCGAATGAAGTGTAACTTCTGAAAAATAATACTGAACACTCTAAAATTGAACACAGGAATTTGAATATTTCAATTCTGTAGCATTTGCAGCCTTTAAAAGGCAAGGATAGGAATCCTTATACATATACTGAGTGCCAGAACACTGGAGCTCAATTATTGAATTGTAGTCACTGTTATCAGCCCAGGCAGCAGACTAAGATGGATGTTGACACAGAATTGATTGTCACTGGCAGCATCACAAGGGTGGTTGGATGCTTGCTTCTTTTAGTTCCAGTTTTTACCAATCAAAAGTATATTAAATAGGGCTGGTCATTGGATTTATTCTGTTGAAACTAAAACTGACCGAGATATTGCTAGTTCCTTCCACACAAATGATGAGACATAGTAGACCAAAGTCTACTATGTCTGTCTAAGAGCAACCAGCCTCACACTTACCCAGTTCCGCCGGATATCCTCCAACGACGCGTCGGTCCTCCACTGCCGGTCCCACAATACCGCATTCTGACAGGTCTGGTAGCCTCACGTATTCTGTGACTGGTGCACTCGTGTTGTTCTCGGGTGGCGGTCCGGTAGTGCCCGTCGCGACGCCCGGACAGCACACTTTGGGGTCGCGCCCCTCATAGCCGCACGCCGACGCTCGCAAGAAGTCGGCCACGCCGGGGATTTCCCTCTGTTGTCGCAGCAAATTGAGAAGACTGGGGCATTGTTTTATGTTGAGACACGTGCCGGCCTGGCCACTCGGATTTGTGCAGCTCGCCGCGTGCCCATCTGTTGGCAACGGTAGCATTGTTGTGATCCCGCGCTATTTATTCCTGTACGCGAAAATGACTGGTGGTTGGAAGATAAATCCGACACACGACGCACGCAGTAGCGAGTACCACGCAAACATCCCACAGTTTTACGTTTACGAAGTTGCACACGTATAACTTTGGGGCTTGCAGATTAACTTGTGCCAAAGGAAAAGGCGTATGTGAATCGAAATTTGCTGTTAGCTTCTTTGCTAGACTTAATTGGTATAGCGTAGTCGGTATAGCGACAGGCTAAGGGCTCGACGACGAAGGGGTCGGAGTTCGAGTCCCGGTAGGGCCAAGAATTTTCTCTTCTCCGCGTCGTCCAGGCTGGCTCTGGGGTCCACCCAGCCTCCTACCCAATGGGTACTGCGGGCTCCTTCCCTGGGGTAAAGCGGCCTGAGCGTGAAGCTGACCACTCACCTCGAACTAGTGTCGAGGTAAAGAAAATATGGATCTATACATCCATTCCCCCCCTACGCCTTCATGGTCTAGTGCTTAACTAGTTAAGTACAGGGACAACTTTACCTTTAATTAGTATCAAGCAAAGTGATTACAAACGATTACATTAACATTAATCTTTAGGCCTGTCAATTGATGGATTTTTCATTCACAGTAAGAAGTCTAGACTTTATCTCCGAGAAGAGGCGAGTCAGCGCAGAGTTAATGTTTTCTCATCGATGAAGCCTGCTATGCCATCTCCTTGCATGTACTCAGCTGAACCAGAAGTCACTACTGCGTTCTGAGCTGACTTGAAGGACACAATTACATCGCAAATCTTGTGTTGTCCTAGAGTACGTCGCACCTCGAGGAGGCTACATTTCGGAAGAAAATTCCTGTGTGTTCAACGAGATTTCCGGTATGGCGATTTTGAGTCGCATCAGATGTTGAAAAAAAATAGTCTAACTAGCTTTATACTGACGATGTAATGATTTATGCCACTATCTGATGACACCCTCATAAATGTTTCAGAATTTATGGAGCTTAGACGTAGACTGTGGTTAGACATTTTTGATGCGCGATTACGAATATGTATTTGTGATGGGATTTGAAAAATTGGACATTTATTATTATTGTTGTTGTTATTGTTGTTATTATTATTATTAGCGTGCCGAAACACGGGTTTCCTTATTTTTGAGAGATAATAGGTCGAGATATGACGTCACTTCCGATATAATGAAGTTCTGACGGGGAAACACAGCGGACGTGTAATGTCAAGGCCATCTAGATTATCTCCAGCGGTGCTTTGTGGCGGTATGCCGAGAAACCAGCATCTCTTTCTTGTTGCCCCGAGTATTCATATGCTTGGAATTTCAGAATATGGGGGGGGGGGAAAGATCAAAACAAATATGATGATATAATTCATGCTCCACATTGATTTTATCCTCTCCGGTATCAGTTTTTTCCAGTGGCAGTCAGGCAGACGGCCCATGGTGCGAGGCTAGTTCCAGTTCAATTTAGTTCATGGACGCCTCCAGGTTCTTTTCTAAGGGCGACGGACAGTCAGAAAATTTACTTATAAACTTAGGTTTCAACCGTTCACACTTTTATTGATCGCCCTGGAATATCCAGGATAGAGTGTATGCTTTTTAACAATTTTAATTTTAGTTCCCCCATTTCTAAATCTTGATTTATTTTCCTCTCAGAAATTCTGGCAGGATCACTTGCGTAACATCCCCCCCCCCGTGTCGGCATCCATGGTTTTGCTTCTAGTTCACATATTTATTATTTAACACTTTGAACAATCGTTATTCTAGTCGCCACTGGAGCGGCAAATGAAAATGGTTCTAATTGGTCCTAATTATTGCAGGAACTCACCTGACCTCGAGACACGGCTGCTGTTGGTGGCCACAACGAGAAGTAACAGGAAAAACTGAGTGTGAAGGAGCTTCGCCATCTGAAACGACCAATAGACGACTTCCAACAGTTGTCATGGCGTGGCGTCAGCTTATATTTGTCCACTGGCCAACAGCCACACACTGCGTTTGTGGGACCAATTTTCTGTATATTTCCTTGCTCCAAGGCCAAAGATCTAACAACTGATCATGTTTACGCTCGAAAGAAAAAGTTGATGGAAATATTTGTAATTACATTTCATTACATAAACCCTGCAAGGACCTATGATCTTGCAGCGTCCATAAGCCGCATACAGGACAAAATATAAGGGAGCGCCCCGAGGCCTCCATAAAACATAAAAACAGAATACACGGGTTTCATTGAGATATTTTAGTCCCAAAAATCACGAAAAATTAGTATGAATTTTTAGTTAATATAAGAAATAATAATATAGAAACTGCTTTGACCTGTATTTTTTGCTACTGTTAGGGTCCCCCACATCACCTGCCAGCATAACGAATATGAAGAACTTTGTACAATTGTACACCGTGTATCATCAGTACAATCGGTCCCCGAGCAATGTACTCCTGTCATGAGACCATAGCTGCCGTTCGACTGGCTATGTTTCACTCTGCCTGGTGGTGCACAACCCGCGGCTAGTCTGCTGCAGACTAGCTGCAGAGGCGGTGGTACGAATGTGGGTGTAATGGTGACAGCAACGATAGCTGAAGCCATTTTGCTCCAGTGGCCTCTAGACTATATACTGAATGAATTACTTTTTAATAATTAGCCTATCCTCCCCTGTAATGTTAGGCAATGCATCAGTAAAAATGTTACCGCGGCAACGAATACACACGCAACAGTAGAAGAATTGTTGGACGCGTCGTTTTCCATACGGTCCGTGTCGTATAATGGAAGATAAGCGATAAGTTCTCCCCAGAACTTCTCGTATCCTCTTCGCCCATGGTGAGGCGGGTTTGAATACACCCACCGTAGCCCTGCGAGTCGTGGGAGGCGATGAAAGGGGAACGCAACGCCTGGAGGTGTAACTGGGCCACCTTGTCCCTGGGAGATATAATTACGGGGACCTGGTCCTCAAGGTTGAGAGAGTCTGGAATCTGAGATAGTAAAATATAGTCATGAGCCCCGCGGGGTTCGAATCCGAGAATGACGGCACTGGCTTCCAGCAGCAATTGTAAACCACAGACCCATCCTCTCGTCATAGAGGGCGCCCAACATAAAAAACCCGCAACTGTCTGAGAATAACAAAAATGGCCTTGGGCCCCAGATGGGGCTTGAGACTGAGAGAGACTGGCCGATTGACCGATGGTTCGATCCTTTCGAATGGAGCCTTGCAGCGATCTTCTGTCGGCATGACACATGCGTGATCCTATGTGATAGGAATAGCGAACCATTGCCGCCAGTGGCTGCACAAGAAAATATGGTAACCCAGGGAAAGACGACTAATTACAATGGAACACAACTTTGTCTTATCTTGTGGGTTGTTTTTGACTGTGAAATGCAAAAAGCCAAAATCTAGGAACTCTTCTATCACACGAGACAGATGTCATTTCTTGTCGCCATGAGCAGGTAAGCTAAGCAGGCGGTTCGATCTGGCTGTAAATGCAGCGCCCGGCGGCTATGCAGCTGCCCAACGCTGCTATATTCATTTGGTTGTAGTTGCGCTGTCCACGGGATTCGATCTTGGCCTTGGAGACGGAGCGTGGCCCTACCTAATGAGGCTTCTTACAACGTCCATTGTTGTCGTGGCACCTTCACCCCGATCCTCATGAAATTGAGCCGGGGGGGGGGGNGTGTGGAACCAACAAGCGTCCGTTCTGACTCTCAATGTTGTCCATACATTAATTAAGCGGTGGAAGTGTGACGTAGATCCGGTTGCTGACTTCCGCCACGGTGATGTCACGCTCAAGTTCCCGTCCCGGCAATAGACTCTGCCCACAGCCTCGCGCTTGTTTGTTCAGCACAGCCGCAGGCTGACGCTTTCCCGAAAACGCCGCTTCGAGCTGTGTACAGACACGAAACGTGTTTCCGAATACGACAGCCATGCTTCTGCAGACCTGTGTTGGTGTCCACTTACAAGACTACACGGTCACTACACGGTCACTACACATAATCATATTTCGTGCTTTCGACGTATTTCCAGTTATTTATATGTTGAAAATGATTTCAATTGAGAGAAGTTCTTTGGAATTTTGTACAGATATTCTGATGGGGAAAGTTCGAACAACGGTCATTGAGAAACCCCCGACAACGAGATTACCGATTTCAGTTCCAGGTCGGGTCGTGTGGGATTTGTGATGGACAAACTGGCGGCACTGGGGCAGGTTTTCTCCGAGAACTTCGGTCTCCCCTGCCAGTTCTCATTTCACCAATTGCTTCACGTTCATAAGTTATCGCATCATCCGACGCTGTGCAGTTCAAATAATAACTGACTGACCCCATGTAAATGAGGATTTCTTGAGAAGCCGCCAGTTGTGCAGAGACTCAAGAATTTCCCAGCATTATTTTTATGGAATCCGAAGGTTCATTACCATCTTCACAAGAGTCCTCCACTGGTCCCTATCCTCAGTCAGATCTATCCAATCCATATCATACCATCCTATCTCTCTAAGATCTTCGTTTCCCAGTGGTCTCCTTCCTTCCGGCTTTCCAACCAAAATCCTATATGCATTCCTCGTCTACCCCATTCGTGCTGCATTCCCTGCCCATCTAATTCTCCTTGACTTCATCATTCTAGTTATACTTGGCGAAGAGTACAAATTATGAAACTCCTCATTATGCATTTATCTCCAACCTCCTGTCACTTCATCCCTCTTCGGTCCAAATATTCTCCTCAGCACCCTGTTCTCAAACACCCTCAGTCTATGTTCCTCCCTTGAAGTTCAGATGACACTGTCGTTAAATGACCGACTTAAAAAAAACACGGACGGGAAGGTAAAATTCAAATTGATGTTAGGCAAATGAGTCCAGTCCAGTTGATGGAAGTGGTTCAGAATCGCGTTCAGTGACAATGTGCTTAGCGATCCGTTAGCCTGTAACCGGTTACTTATAATAAACTCAGTTGCCGAAGTAATGTTTATGTAGGCCCTTACTCCCATTGCATGGCTCGCCATGAAAACGTGAAACCTTAAATTTCAAGAAGGTCACATTACTTGCGAATAGTTCTTTCGTTTAAAATATCTCCTTGGTCTCCGCCCAGGTATTTATGTTTGCAACGCGTGTGAGAATTCAACAGTTAACTGTTAGCCTCTCCTGTCTTCTCCCCTGTTTCTTTCCGGCCATATATGTTTCCCAGCGACGCGTCGAGGCTGACGTTTAACGCCACCTCTCACGAATAACAAGTATAAATAGTGAATCGTAAACGGTCTTATTTATATATTATGCTAAACTTCACACATTCACATAAGGTGTTATCAATACCCAGATAAGAGACACGATACAGTTAAAAACAGTTGCTCGCTCGTTCGTGACTCCCTACACGACTTCTCTTAATGCAGTGTGTTAAATGCTCGAGAGATCGTTCTTGTAGTAACCCGAAATTTGGCCGCGCCATAGCTCAAGCGGTTAGTCGCTGGCTTCTCACTGCGGTGGCCCGGGTTCGATCCCGGGTCTGGTCAAGTGGGATTTGTGGTGGACAAAGTGGCGCTGGGGCAGGTTTTCTCCGAGTACTTCGGTTTCCCCTGCCAATCTTCATTCCACCAATTGCTCCACAATCACCCTCACCTATCTGGGGCTGGTACAATAGGCCAGAAGTGGCCGCAGTACAAGGGACTTAGTCCCACCCCACTAGCAATAAAAAAAAAACCAAAATATCATAATGACAGTGATAAATCTCTGGCATACAAAACTTGTTTATAAATGGCATTAAATGAACCAAGTAAACAAGGAGTTTCATTTCATCAAATACCACCATAAACGGAACGTCACAGGTTTCCTGTAAACGCTACTGGGCAAGCAAAAGTTCTGACGCATCTGTCGGTAATTTTGGTAACTACACGGAAAGAAGAGGATCTCCGCGTGATCAAAGGAATATCTATCTTGCTTCGTCAGCTTTTTTTTTAAATTCTTTTTTACGAACTTGTTTTTCAGTGAACTGTGAAGCCTGCCCAAGGCCGACTGAATCCTAGACGGGGCGATGGAAGAGCAAGCACTGCTTATTGTATAACTTCTGCCTTCGGCAATAAGAACGTTTGGGGTTCCAACGTTTCGGCAAATATTGTAACTGCCGTCTTCAGGGCGAATAAGTGGAATGTTGGAAAATCCTCGACACCCTCTGTAGCTTGTTCATGAAACCCCGAAACCGAAATTACAACTTAAGCTGCAGCCACTGAAATGTAAGAAACAGACATGCTGCTTATGCCTAACAGGAATACATTTCAGTTCGTCCCTTCCTGTCGAAAGTGTAGTTTCGACAGGAAGGGACTTCCGTTCCTTCACACAACATCAATCGCCCTTTCTTATGGTCCACTTGTGCAATGAAATACCAGGCAGTTTCATTGTAAATAAAACGAAACTTCTCCATTCATACGGTAAAAAGAGGTAAAGCTATTCCTGTAACAGGCCATGGAGGCCCATAGGTTTGTGAGACGTCGAGGCTTCCACATTTTCTAGACAGTCGGCTCACAGATTGCGGTGAGGCTGTCAGTCTTATGCGCCGGTCGTCTTCCCCCCCCCCTCAAGGAAGATTCCTGGTACTCATTTCTGTTAGAGAATTAGTCGACCCTAGGCCATTCTGCGGTTGGAAGGACTGAGTCAACTGAAAAATCTAATGACCTTCATCGGGAATCGTACCGCGACCTTCCAGCCTGTACAATATATACAGTGTGTTATAAATTGTTTTTGTGCATTCAGTAAAATATTCGGGAAACGTTTCGACGTCTGCCGGAGCTGTCTTTTCCAAGCCCTCCCGAGCCCAGACACATTATTTTATAATGATTTACTGACTTGCCAGAAGTTTGAGTGGATTCAGCTAGCTGCAAGTACTCATTGTTGCGCAAGTTAAGTTGCCGGTCTCCGTTCCAATTGAATACAGCGGACTAAGCTGGCGCCGCCATAGATTGAACATTTCTTCTGTGTCTCATACAGCGCCCGGAAACCCGCCACATTCTTTAGTGGATGGAATTGGAAGTAATTTTATTCAAAATGGCAATAGGTTGCCCATGAAAAATATGTATCAATATCTTTCTTATCCCTATATAAACTAATTTTATAACCATCTCTATGTAACGTCCATTCGTAATTAATTACCAGTTGAATAAGAATAGGAAAAGAAGGTGGTTGAATGCGGTAGATTTGTTAGTTGAGGCGCTATGCTACAAGTCGGGAGGTCGCGGGTTTCTTCAATTGACCTAATCCTTCCAACCGCATTAAGGCCCTGGGGCCGACTCAGCCTCTAACAGAAATGAGTACGAGGAATCTTCCTGTAGGTAAAAGGCGGCCAGCTCGTAAGGCTGATAACGTCACCGCCATCTGTGAACCGATTGCCTAGAAAATATGGGAATCTCGACGTCTCACAACCCTATGGGCCTTTACGGCCTCTTACAGGGATAGCTTTACCTTTATTTTATGCACGATAATATAACCTCAGAGACAGTTTCACAGGACGCACTGCTACCATTACGGGGCAGTACAGAAGCTATAACTACGTATCTAATTTCTGCTACTGAAAGGCAGCACAAATACTAAAATAATAGCGATATGTTTTTACTTTTAGTCGAAGGTTTTGCCACATATAATTTCTGTGATCTTCAGAATAACATTCTTAATTCTATTCCCGCACTTATTTGGAACATCACACACACACACACACACACATAACGTTACAAGTCACCTAATAAAATGAAAATACATGATGTAAGTATGTGTCGTTCCCATGGCTATGTACTCATTATCGTTAGCATCTTGCATCGCGCTTAGAAATATCATTCATACGTTGACTCATTAACTGCAGCCTGTAAACAGATAAACATTAAGAACTCGGCGATTCCGTAGCGTAGCTCAGGCCCTACAGCTTGAGAACCATGCACTAACCTGTATTTCTGCGCGTGTTATATCGCCCATTGTTCTCGCGCTCTCACTAACCTGCATCTCTGAATCTGGCCGCAGACTCACTACGCAACCGGCCTCCAGCCACCGGGCTTTATCTTCAGGGCCAGTTCCGTGACAAGGTAATGAATGTCTCCTTCCATACTCCTACCTACCAATCATTCATGATCACTTTCCGCTCTTAACCGGAGGTGAACTGCGGTCTTAAGTAGTGGACCAGTCTTGGCTACTGGAGTACGTACAGACTGTTGCATGTAACTGACCATTAACAACAATATCGGTGATAGGGCCGGTCTGTGTTGCAAGACTTGAGAATCGTAACCACGAAATCTACGTTCAGGAGTCTAGCGCTCTCCTTTTCTGTTTCAGTAGGCCAACATTGCGGGATATCTCAGTTGGTACAGCGACGGGATATACGAACTGTATGGCCAAGGAATCGGGCTTCGATTTCTGAACAATGCAAGAGATTTTCTTCTTCGCTGCAGCTGCCAAATCGGCTCTGTGGCCCCAGCCAGTCTGTAATACAATGGGTATTCGGGGGATCTTTCCCTGGGTGTAAAGAAGCCGGCGCGGGAAGCTGACCACCCACCTCCATCTAGTGCCGAGGTCAAGAGTGCTGGCGCGCTGTTCCTCCACTCTCCCATACGTCTTTATGGCGTGATGCTTAATTAATTAATAACAAAGATAACTTTACTCTTTGACCCTTAGGCCAAAATTATACACGCGAGTATTTCGAAAGTCTTCCATGCTCCTATTTATATTTGCGACGAAAATGTGAATCCAGGGCATTTCTTTAACGTACAAAAAGTAACGACACTGCACCAGCTGTTCGTCTTACGTACCAATAGGGCAGGAAGTGGTGGTTGGTTGTACTAAAGCGCTCAATCGTAACCTAGTTGGGGGCATTTCGTCAGTCGTGGTGCCACAACCTGTGGACCCAACTATCAATTGCACACAAGTGTCCATCACATCGCCTTCTCCACATTAGGCAAGGCGGTAATGGTTACAATGCCATGATTCGGCCTAGAGCCTCGTGTGCCTCACGCGATAATGGTGAAAGAAAAGATGCTTACACCAAAACAAATCCCACTGGGTTTCTTGCAGTTAGCAATTAAATCTTCATCGGCTCCGAATTATTCAATGTTATTGTCACGTATCCTGGAAACGCGACAAGAAATTAATAGACTCCGGGTTAGATGACGCGCTTTATTGGATAAGTTGCTTACAATTACAACTGCAGTTGCTAAAAAAGAACGTCTTCCACAAGATGCAACCTGACTAGTTCGTCGTTTCTCGAATTTCGTCTTCACTCCTCTGTTCTGTATTGAACTGCTATTCTCTTTTCGCTACGCTCTTAGCTCTAACTTCTGCTGCTCTCGTCTGCTCCCAGCTCTGCTCTGCTTTTCGCTTCTGAACTCTTGGCTTCAATTCTGCCTTGGGAACTCTCCTCTCACTTCTGTACTTCGTCTAACTTCTGTGTGCAATTCTGACCTCTTTAATAATTGCTTGGCGTACCGACTATGGAACACCGAATCGAACAGTTAATCCCTCCGTTGTCATAAAAATGGTCCTTCTGTTGCTGTGAGAATAAACATTTACCTGGCCTTGTCATGAAAACGTCACCTCGGTTGTGCAGGAAACGTGACTGCCGGGCCGTTGTCTAGCAATGGACGCCCGCTCTGAATCAGATATTCCGGCTTTTAGGCGGCACGCCACATTGTTAAGGAACCCGGAAATTCCCTCGTTGACTGAGTCCAGTTCATATTCTCACAATCCACTTGTGTGTATAACATCCATTTAAATATAACTTTCCCATTTACGTTTCAGTTTAGCAAGTACTCGTTTTCGAAGAATTTTCGCAATGAATATTCTGCAGGGTTTTCATTATTATTAACAGCGTACGCTTGGCAGTCTCCTTGGTCAGGGGAAACGTCAAGATGACGTAATACTGCAGAAGGCCGAGGCTCCAGAACAGGTTTTCTGCTTCGTGCTTGGACGGTGTCAAGATGACATGGACTTATATGTGGTTGGATAAAGGAAGGCAATGAAAATGAAGAACATTTCTAAATATTTAAAACGACGGTTCAAATGACAAAAGAGTTTCCATCCTAGAGAAATACATCGCCGCCAAGAACAGCAGCTGTTTCAGTTGGCTCCCGAACGCTTCATGTGTTTAAACGTGTCTGTGGAAATTACTGCCACCTCACACCCTGGTCGTGGTCTATTTCAAAGAGTTTTTGTAAATGAGCCGTGAACCGCGACAGACTGCTCCCCTGATCGGCTTGAGGCAGTCGTTGCAGCATCGTTAGTCTAGCGTTATATCGCTCCAGTCTTGTCCCATTGCTTCATTAACTTTGTTAATATTGTAACGTGTTTGGTATAGGAACTTCCATGGTAACGCAATAACAGTGAGCCGTTGCGTATACAATGCCGAAACAACGAACGCGTTTTCCCGGAGATGGACAACAGAAGGCCCGTTACGTAACAACAGAAACGGGACCGTGAGGAATGGTGTCTGGTATCCAGTCCGCAGAACACCTATATAAGCCGAGCGTACGACACGTACAAAGAAGACAGTCTTCAGAAGGCCGCCGCCGAAAGCAGTCTAGTATTTGCCGAGATACAGTGGAAGCAGTAATTGTAATTGTAAAGCGTGTGAGTGTATAAGTGAAGCACAATAAAGATTCGCTAAATCCGAGAACCACTTGAAGTTATTTGTCGCGTGACATACCAAACACGTGACAATATGTAATATACAGAAGGAAAGAGCTCTGTTTACATTTGACGTGTGAGGTGTCTTCTTGTAAACAAACACACCTACAAAATAGCTATTGATATGGTGCACAATTAAGCACGAAACCTTAAAGGAAGAATTCTTGAGATCCAGTTCAGAATACTGCCATATATTTCTTCCCCGTGAAGTGTTCGGCGTAGCATGGGGGGAAAAAAAAAAAGTTTAAGATTTAAGTGCAAAGAAATAGTAAGATTTGTTAATCTGTTATCTGTAATTATATGTAATCCTAAAATTGCCCAAAGAAAGGATGAGAGTTTTAAATTAATCTGCTTGTTTATTAATTGTTTGTCGATTTATCCCTAAGTATCGTAATACTTGTTTATTTTCTTTATGCCTATACTGCCCTTTGGACCTTGGCCGCCTTTAAAGTTTCTTAATCCTATACAAAATCGGTACGACTCCTTGGACGGGGGATCAGCCCGTCACAAGGCCGCTATCTACACGCAGAACAACACAAACACAGAATAAACTCACGCAGACATCCATACATGGAGTGGGATTCGAACCCACGACCCCAGTGTTCGAGCGGGCAAAGACAGTTCGTGCCTTAGACTGAGCGGCCAATGTGATTGGTAAGACTTGTGTTATGCAAGTAGTTTTCTGCCTTAGATACCTGGATAAGTGGAGGTGCTGAAATTCGTCTTCCCCATATCATTACATAATTGAAAAAACGCTGCTAATAGACTAACTATGTACACGCACGGTAAAAAAAATTAAAGTAACTATGCGTAGTTTACACAACCAACTCTAGGGTTAAGGATGGCTGCAAACCCTACGAAGAAATAAGGGGCTAATAGGTCTATAATTGATTTTAGACGATTGATTATAAAAAATAGCTCTACCAAAAAATGGTTTAAAACATCTTTATTCACATTCTTTTATACAGAAGATATAAAACATCATACTCCTCTGATACATTTGCACTTAGCTACCGAACTACACGGTGTCACATACCGTAAAAAGAAATTACATTTACTTTAGGGCGATGGCACACCAAGGAAACTGGCAATCGCAGCGCAACTGAAATTTCCAAAAAATGTCGCCGATTTCAAGCAGGCAACTGGTATGCAGATTAGCAAACGCATACTGAAGAAACTTATGTCTGATCAGTTGCTCACATCGTCTTAATTTGGTATGTTCGTCCGACGTAATGCATGATTGTATTTTTTATTTCGTGCCCTTACCTTCTGCAATGGAAGATAATAATATTGATCCAGTCATAATACGGCTGTCGTTCATACCGGTTGAGACGGCGTGAGAAGAGAGGACGACGACCATAAGGAAAATACTGGGATGTTAAATAATTTGTTTTAAGTAAGGTCAATTTACTTTAATTAGTAAATACCAAGTTCACACGCGATACGAAATTTGGACGTATACTACAACACTTTTAGAAAGTAAGAAGACTCCTGATGATGGCCTTGAACAGCCGAACAATGTAATGTGGAAGAAGGGATACTATATAATAAGTTTTATTGAAGACGGAAATATATGCGAAATAATTGATATATTAATGAAACAGGATGCTTAAATACAATATTCGGGAAGGAAAACATTGGGTTTATCCGTTCTTCTGTGACAATTTAAACCGAGGCGCTTATATTGCATCAAAAGAACTTAACTTGGATCCAGACTCCGGTTCGTGAGAAATTCTTTCCCTCTATTTTGTCCTGCCTAGCATTTTCTGGGTGGGGTTTGTCATATTTACCAGGCTCTTGCTCAGTTAACTTCACAAAAACAAAATTAGCAACTTCATCAGCCTTTCTTGCCATCAAAAGAAACAAATGAATCATTGAAGCGCGTTATAGAACAACTGACAATAAGAAATCACGCGGTAACGGAACTGTCAGAAGACCGACATGCTCCATTGCCTGGAAATTAAGTTTCTCAGTATTTCCGCCAGTTCCGTTGTCTTTACCTCAATTTGCGCTGCTTAATTCAGTCACAGGTGTCCAACTCAGGCTGATAACAATTCTCAGAAATTACGGTTGCGTTGCGGTTTCCAGTTTCCTTGGTATGCCCCACGCTCAAATGCTGAATACGTGTCCTGTGACTCCGATATCTGTCACGGGTATCACCGCCGTTGTCCGTGACTTGTATGGTCTGCCTGTGATTAAATTATCCCTCGAGGCACTATCTGGCTTCAGCGACAAGCAATATCGATTGACGTGTGTGAAAGGATTGGTTATCCATCTAGTACGAGCTAGTAGAATGTAGCGTGGAACCAAACTAGTTCGTGGTTCAGTGCAAGACCGTCGGAAGCGGTCGGAAAGATAGAAGTTGCTGTTCAAAGGAAAGCACTTCAGCTTCCGGTATGTAGAAGGGGCAGAAGGGATAGGAAGTCGATATAAGCGTGCATTGAGCTTTGAGGGCTTTGAGCGCTTAGTGTAAGTAAAATGGACGCAGATGGGGAAAAGCGGAAATTAATTGAGCTTCGTGTTGTTGATCTGCGAGCAGAATTAGAGAGGCGCAATTTAGACAAAACAGGTGTGAAAGCTGTTTTAATAGAAAGGCTACAAAAGGTAAGGTAGGCTTCTGTTGCCGCGAATTTACTTACATTAATTGGTTGATGTATGTTCGCGTGGTTTGTGTGATAAAACATGTCTTTGTATTTTTCGTTAGGCTCTTCGAGATGAGGGACATGATCCTGATGAATATTTATTTGAATCGTCAGAAAAGAAGGCTGTTAAGCGTATATCCAATGCAAGTAAGTTTAAACAATTTGTAATTTTTGTTCACGTTGCCGGTTACTTGTAGGAGCGATGGTGACACATTTCCGCCATTTTCTTGTTATAACCATGCAAGGTTACGGTAGGCTTTGGCGGTTGGAACAAATTTTTATGAAGTTGATAAATTATTTATTATGTATCATGTATACATTGTATAATTTTTTGGATTGTTCCTGTGCAAAATATTCTTTATAATATAGGCCGCAACGGAAAGTGAGGTTGTTTCTGTGAATCTAGACTGCGTAAGCCTCTAGAGTAGGGGCAACGAAAATTGCCTATTTAGAGCGCCATTTTCGGAGTGTGAAGCAACTGGAAGAAATAAGGGCTATGAGTTAACTAATAGGAGATTGTGGGAGGTTGAGAGGAACTGAGCACAAAGTTGCCATTTAAGGGGCAGAGTGAATATATGAAATGGTGAAGCACCAATTGGCTAATTCAGAGAGCAGAGTTGGGGGAGGGGATGAAGTGGAGTGGGGAATCAAGTAAATAAATTCTTGGTTTCCTCTCATCATGAATTTGGAGGCAGCAGGTTTGTCTGAAATGTTAGCAGTTTACTACCAGACTACAGAATTGCAGGAAACGGTAATCTTCATTTTCACTGCCGTGAGAAGCTGAGATGTTTTAGAAACCTTGGCCATGTTCCCCATTCTTTTCTGTTTTTATGATTTTGTTATCTCACTTGGTGGCAGATGAGTAGTTAATGTAGGAGTGGCCTTTTATTGGTGCACGAGATAAGACGAGCAGAGTGTTGCTTGAGATCAAGTCATAGAAACATGTCAAGTGTTACAGGCCACTGACAGCTGTTGTCAAACGGCTGACACTGGAGGATATGTGTTAGGGCCAGGTTGTAAAACTGTATGACATTTGGCAGAGATTGTCACACTACTCTTCTTAGCTTGCTTTCTCTCATCTCTGTATCCTTTACTTGTTGGACCTTGCTTGTAGTAATTCCAGAGTAGCGAAGCACAACAAAGTTATGTCAGTGTTTTCACAAAAGCCCTAACATGTGGGTCCACGTGCATGCAGTTTTGAAGCATATAATAGAGATGCTGAAGTTAATGGAGCACTGAATGAGATGTCAAGGATTTGGGAGGAACAAGTCCGTGTGCCACCCTCGCACTGTTCAGAGGGAGGAACTGCTGTATGATAGCTGATGCCTCAGTGGTACTGGGAGACAGTGCCACTCTGTTAACCCTTTGACGTGGTCATTTAAATTCCGCGGCCGCGGCTCCTGCGGTAATATATTCAGCCGACCATTTAAATTTTGCTCGAAAATTATTTATTCATCATTGTTCTTAAATTCTATGAGATAGGAACATGAAACTTTCACTAAAATGATCTTAAATGGTGGTTTTATAACCTTACCTTATAATATGGGCGCCCTGTATCTCGGCCATGGAAGCAGGTTGTTTAGTATTTCAGCAGTGAATGGTACGCCTTGAAGGATGAAACTTTCACTAAAATGATCTTAAA